GCACAGGACAGAGCGGAGTTTAGGGCTGTTGTACATAGGGTCGCTATGAGTCGCAGGCGACTCGACGGCACATAACAACAACAACAACAACACCTGGTATAATCTACTACAATAAAAGAGACTCATTACCATAAAAAAGGACAACCCTCTATTTTTCATTTGTAAGTTTTTTTTTTAAAAGTCATTGCTCCTTCAAAAAGGGGTACTGACCCTTTAAAAATATGTTGCTGTGTGCCACTTAGTCAGAACTGACCCACAGCTGACCCTCCAGCGGGTTTTCAGAGGCACTAGAACTCAAGGGTGGAGACTGTCCATCCTTTTCCCAAGGAGCAGCTGGTGGCTTCAAACTGCATGCCCTTGGAATTGCAATGCCGACTCTTACCACAAGGCCAGCAGAGCTCCCTTTTTAAAATAGAGCAGACTCAAACTGTGCCTCCACTTGAAGTTGAATTAGGAAATTTGAAAAGAAAGCATATTGACAACTATGATCAATGAAGATTTGTGAGTGGTTTCTATTAGTAAGGAAGGTATAACATCAAGGCCATGTAATAGTTGAAGAGCATAAGGGTAACAATGGCCCTAATTCAATGCAAATTATTATTTACCTGAACTCTACTCATTCCTTATACAACTAATCTTTCAATTTTAAGGTCTTTTTTCCTCTATCTAATCTACCACTTAAAACAAATATGATAAAACATAACAAAACAATATGACAACATGCCAACAAATGTAGGGGGTGAATCCCCTGTAATTCAATTAGATTATAATGATTAGTATAATTTTTGTGCCTTTCTATCTTGTTTTTCTCCTAAGTGATTATATTTTTCATGTCTGTCACTCACAGAGAATTCACCATCTTTATATATTATACTGTACACAGTTTATACTCACGCTACAAAAAATGTGCAAGCCTCAGTATCAATAAACATTAACACTTCACAAGTAACTAATGATTGCTTTATTTCTAAACCATTAGGCTCTTTCTCAGGTGACTCGACTGCACAGAACAGTAACAAAGCCCTATCCACTTTTTCTTTATTATAAATAATGTTGCAGCAAACATGTTTGTAAGAGAAGGCAGTGCTTCCTCCTTTTGAATTCTTTTCCCTTAAAATTAAATTAGAAAAAGGATTAATGAGTTTAAAAGTATGATATCATTTTTTGTGGTTCTTGCTGTTAAAGGATTGTTACCTTTAATGTGACACTTCTTTGATCTTCTGGTAGTCCTGGAATTGGGTGAACACCTAAGCATGGCAGGATAAATCCAGAATACCTAAAAATGTTGAACATGGTAAATAATGTGGGGGCAACAGACTAACATTACTCAGCAGAATAAGTAAATCTCTTTGTAATGGTGTATGTAAGGGACTGTACTGGGTTGTGTGTATCCAGCAGGCAGATTTGTGCTAAACTGCAATGTGTCTTACATACATCACAAGCAGCTTTAGTCAGACTGTAGCCATGTCTGAGTAAGCACAATCACGCCGTGCTGAATCATTGTTTTAAGTGTAATCATGCAGGTCCATCGTGATAGAAGTAGTGATCTGTGTGCACTGTTGTGAATGCAACTTTGTGATCCATGCACAAAATGTGGCAGAGAGCCACCTTTGTCCTAACAATCTGAGAACTTGGTGGGAAAGTGCCACACCTGCCTTGCCAGCTGCACGGTCTATGGCATCAGTGTGACAAGTGATGCGTGACTACAGGCTGCCAGGGTCCTCCAGCATGATGAAGGCAAAGGTTGAGCTGAAGCCTGGATATTTGTGGAGATGTCTCACTCAAACTCTAGGGCTGAGTCAGGATTATAAAGTGTTCTGGGGAATGGGGTCTATTATGTTTAGTTACTTTCTCCATCTGTTTTGCTTTTCTTCCTCAAGTGTTCCTGCAAT